GGGAAGGGAAGGGAAGGGAAGGGAAGGGAAGGGGGCTCGCAGCACACCCGGGAACGATTTGCCAGGCTTGATTTAAAAGGCGCAGCGGGAATTGGCAAAATTCACGTATCGTGGGGTTAATGTGGGTTAGAGGGGAGCTATTTGTAACACAGAGACGCTGCATTCCAAACACACACATCTGATTTCTTTTAATCCCAGCTCGTTTTTTGCGGCATAAATCACTTAGTTAAAATGAACAGCCAAAACAGCTGGTTTAGACATTCATGAGACATCCAAAAATCTGCTGCTTTAGATGCCCTAAGCGAGCAATGGAAAGTGCGAAGTGCAGCTCGCCTTACAAGGGAGAGGGAGATGGATGAGGTACCCAGAACCAGCCCTCAGCTCCACCGGCCCAGGACGGGCCTCTCCTGTCGGCACGGAGCACACGGCATCCTCTTCTTCCTGCAGCTCCTCCCGGCCAGAGCAGCAGTGCCACAGGCGAGCTGCTGCCCACACAGCCCCTTCTCTGGGCACAGGCAGGTCGCCCAACACACCTGAGGGAAGTTAAGAGGGTTAGAGAGCAGGCAGTTTCTGCAGGCAGGCAGGGCAGGCTGGCACCGGGGCTCCTTCCTGTGCCACCCCAAGCGCCTGCTGCCCCACTGCCCCAGCCACGTTCCTGCCCAGGACATGCCAGAAAGCCTTTGGGAGCACCGGGAAAGCCAACAGCCCTTCCTCAGCCCCGTGTCCAGAGCCCTCAGCAGTGCTTCCCAGCAGAGCTTCCCAGCAGACACGGAGCCTTCCAGCAGCGGAAAGTCACAGAATGAATTTTGGAATTAAAATGTATCCTTTTTATTACTTAAGTGAATAAAATCCCGGACAGTAGCACTGGAGGCAAAAAGTCATATGAAGATTAATTTACCCCCAGGAGCCCTTCATGCCTCCAGTTTGGGGATCTGTTGCTCCATCCCATGTTTGCTTCACCCATGCACTGGTGGCCAGCAGCAGCGCTTCTTGGCTCCAGTGTTGCAGAGAAAGCAGATTTTAGGTCCTCACAGACAGGCCTCCACATGATTGCTTTTTACTGCTCAGATTTTTATCTGCTTTGATAGATTTAATTATTTTTTGTTGTTGTTTGGTGTTTGTAAACATTCTGTAAAACGCCTTCAGCCATCTCTCTTGCTCTAGGCACTGCAAGTGAGTCTGCTGCTGAAGCCCAAGTGAAGAGAGGAAAGACGAAGGCTCATTCCAGCCTGCGAGCCCTCTGACAATTAAATATACTGCAGAAAGGCACAGACACACTCAGGCTCCCTATTAGGGAAAACACTCATGTGCTTAGTTTTAAGAATGTGGTTAAATCCATTCTTCTTTACAAAATCTTTGAGACATAAGCACATGCCAAAGTGCATTCCTGAGTAAGGATGCTTCCCTGAACCGAGGCCATAATTCATTAAAACCCAAGGTGCATTTATCCTTTTTCCCGTGAGCAGGGATGTGAAAAAAGGGGAGGGGAGAAAAAAAGAAAACAAGCAAAGAATTAATTTTGATTTGAAACTGATCTATGGTGACAAGGGGCATTTGGTTTGTTGAAGTAACTGGAAGTGGGAAGTATTTCAGAAGACATCTAAATAAATCTTTTTAAAGGGGTTTTTCTCTCTCTCTCTCACTCTCCCCCTTTCTTTCTCTCAGTTTTCCTCTAATTACCCATGTCTGGTAGTCTTGGATCTCAACCCCTTGTTATTTAAAATACATATTCATGGAACTATATTTTACAGTTGCACTGTTCTGGTTACAAAATAGCTTCTACTTTTCTAGGACATAATTTCATTTTGTTTAGCCAAGAATTCATTAAAGAAGCTATAAATAACCTCCTTTAAATATTTAGCCGTGAATAGAGGGTGGACTGGCATTGATGGCTTATTTTAGTACTAATGCAATATGCTTTAAAAAAAAAAAAAAAATCCGCATTTGAGCATGAATCAAGTTAATCATTAACACTTTCAACGTGACTCTCAGGATGTGCTGGGAGCAGCGCTTGCCCCCTCGCAGGCGGCGCACTGCGGGCGCAGCGGGGCTGCACAACTTTCCCTGCAGCTCTTCCTGCAGCCAAACACAATTTGCTCTGTCCCGAGGGGGAAATGCGGCCCCCAGTTGTGGTGGGCTGCTCCCCCAGCAGGGACCTGCTGGCTGCCTGCCCCTCCTGCCCTCCTGCTGCCACACTTGGCCAGTGTTTTCTGCCCATGAAACCACTGTGGCTTCCCAAACTAGCAGGGGACAGCAGAGTTCCACAGAGTGCCTCTGCTTACTTTAGAAGACACCTTAGAAAAAGAAGTTCCAGTGCCTCCACCTCCACTTCAAACAGAGAGAGGAGTGTTGAGACAAGGGGGAGCTGGGGGTTCTCTTCCACACCATGAGCTCATCTGCTGTGATCTGAGAGCAAAGGATCAGAGACCAAGGCACAGTTATTTTAGGGGAAGGTGAGGAAACAGCATTATCTGATGTCCTGCTTGCCAAGATTTGGAAAATCAGATGCTGATGGCTCTCAGGCTGCCCATGACAAAGTCACAGTCCCTCCTTACCCCCTCCCAAGTCTTCCTGCCTCACTTTTTTGGCTGTGCCTTGATGGTTTTAGCTGGAGACCACCATCAGTTTCAGGTACTCCAGCTCTCCATGTCCTCTGCCATCGCTTTCCCTTGTCCTTGCTCAACATACAATCCCTCTAATTGCGCTGATACAGACATGCTGAGAGATTAGGAAACTCACTAGGTTCAAAAACTCACACAGTAATGAAAAAAAAAATTAAACCAAACCCAGTAGTTTGGTTTTAAAGCCCATATCTGTCACCTACTGTCACTCAAGGGGTGGCCCCAAACAACAAAAGCTGTGTCAGCAAAACAAGGAGATGGCAAGAAGATTGGAAGGAGCTGCTGGGCAGGGAATCCTGAAGCCAGGACTGCTCTCAGTCACGAGGATACACCAAACTGTACACTGAGTGCTGCAGTGCTGTTGCATTTTGAAATAAAGCTGAAGCATTAAGACATTTTTCCTTAGTGCTGACTCCCTCTGGGCATTCCCAAGACAATTACAATGTTTTCTGAGTATACAAAAGAACTAGGAGATTTTGTAATCAAGAGTCTGAGTTTATGCTTCTCTCCTTAAGAGCATTCAATTTCCATGGACATTCATTAGCAGGAGGTTAAAACACAATGGCAGAAGAGAATGGACTGCTTTTATGTCCATGTGGTAGTAAACACTTCAAGCTAGAAATGCGAGTTCCAAATAAAAACCTCTCTGTGGTGCTTCCAAATTAGTAGTAAAGCAACAAAAACCACACGAGTTTCACAGCTTTTTTACTGAAAATTTAATTTTACAAAATACCCTTTTCCATCAAAGAAACTTCCCTGCAATGTACATGAACCTGGCATTTTATAGACCTGTACAGTGAGATATCAGAGAGGTTTGAAAGAAGGAAAAAAACTTTTAGCAGACACCTAGTTGCAAAACCTACAGCAATGTGAATACAAGTGTGTCTTAAAATGCTAAAGCAAGTAATGTAATATAATTGGTGAATCTATTTGAAATGTGAAAAGTTTCCTTAAAATGGTCCATATGGTATGTAGAACATCACAGCTGGCACAAAACTGCCTGTATTTAGGTTTAAACACAAAAACAATGTATGTAAGGAACAGTTTTTGAAAAAGAACCCAAGTGCTGCTATCATAAGGCAAACATATACAAAGGTGCTGACAGCACACAGGGAAACCGACAAAATAAGATGAATACTCAAGTGTTCAAACACTGAACTGTTTGTTTTCCTAATGCTGCCAGTGAATGCTGAGGAGATAACCGCTGCCAAATTACCACAGGACACCCTGGTAACTGGGTGGGTGCTACAGAGAAGGCTTTATATAATTGCCAGAGAGGTGAAACCAGGCAAGGTGCTCGGGCTCGACAGCACCTACTGAGTCTGCTGCATCCTGGCAGCTCTGAATTTGGAAATCCTCTTGACTGGTTCTTCTGGGGCGTCAGACTGAAGTTCCTCTGATTTGCGCTCCAGAATGGTCGGCAGCACTGGGTGACCGAGGACTGGGTGTGGTATTAGGGAGGGAGACAAAGGCTCCTTTTCTATGACAGTTCCAGAAAATGCCTACAACAGAAGAGAATACTCAGAATGAGCTAATAAAATGCAAATGTGAAGCTATGCCCATAAGGTCATTACCTTATATTAGCCTGATTAGAATTGTTATTTCTTCTAATCAAAAGTAAAGAAATATCCTTAAATCAATGATTGTTGCCTGCATAAGTAACCACATTGTAATTAACCTCAAAATATAGCTTGTTCAAAGATGACTGCATGAAAGACAGTATCTTAAAAGTACTACTTAATCTCATTCCTACTGCATAAATGATGTAAAAATTTGCTTCCTCACTGACACACGCTCAAGAAATAAAACAGCTGATGTAATAGTTTCATTTTGGATAAGAAATGGAGAGACTTTGCAAAGTTTATGTCAGCATTTCCATCATACGTCATTTTATGACTTAATATCTTCTAATTGCATCAAGCTGAAACACTTCATATGAACTGGCAAGCACATGTTTTGTTTCTTCTTTTCTCCCTACCAAATATGATCAAAAAATGGTGAAAGCAATTTATATTTAAGAGAACAGCAAACTTGTTTCCAACTATTTCTCTCTATAAAAGGCCTAATACAAACATTTTGTGTTTAAAAATTGTAATTTATATGCAGCCAATTATACGACAATCCTTTTCAACTTAGCAAAGAAATGACCATGATTCTTGGAAAACAAGCAGCTCAGAACTACTTTTCATAAATATATTTAAGAACAAATCACTCCACTATGTATTGAAAACAGAGAATTCAGAATGCCCAAGGACAAGGGGAAGCAGTTCACATCCAAGGTCTGATGCTCATGCTGGGCACAAAGGAATGCACACCAGATTTAGTCACCATGCTTAGTTCTGCTTTTTCATAACTCAGTTACCAAGAAAAACAAAACAAAACAAACAGGCCATTCTCTTCTTGCAGAACCTGCAAAAAAAGCAGTGCTTTTTTGTTTTCTGCTCCAATAGCCCAAGTGTGCCTAAAGCTGTGCCTGTACAACTCTGTTAATCTAACAAGAAGTCATTCTCAAAAACAGGTAAGGAAAGCACAAACTAAGTGATGGTAGTAAAATTAGAAATAAAAGTTAGTGTGTAATTGGTAACACACTAACTCTCCAAATGGTAATGGAGGAATAATGGATTTCAAACACCCACAAAAATAACCAAAAGCAAAACAGCAGCATTTAGGGAAGCACATCTGACTGGAGCGTTTTGCTGAATCTCCTTCAGTTGCTAAGAAAATACATTACATTGTAGAGAATAATCACACCAGATTCAGGTAATAGACTGATGGGTAACATCTGAAGTGCACTTAGATGTTTTATAAAAATATAGCAAATATATTCCAGAAAGTATACAATGTGGAGTGCTAACTCCACAGATAAATTTTCCAGCATGAATCTTCACATCCTGCCTGGATTCCTCTGTAGCTGTTTGAATGAAAAATTGTGAGAAACAATAGCTTTTATGAGGAATTCATTCCTTGTCAAAAATAATTTTTGTAAAAATAATGTTTTCATTGAACTTGTCCATTGCACTGAGAATTTCTTCGGTTCAAGTTTTATCTAGTTTGAAAAAATTAGTGTTAAGTTCTTACAAAACAGAAATGAATATTCTGTGCCACAAATTTCTACCTTTAATTCTTGTATTCACCCAGTCACTAAGCAACTGTGCATTTTCCCTTACATCATACAGCCTTTCTTTTATGATGAAGCCCTGAACTTTCCAAACACACGTAAACAGATTTGTTTGGGATCACTAATGGCCTAGTCTGGAATAGGATCAGTAGGGGTGCAATGCTTCCTTCCATCAGGCAATTTGCTATTGGCACATCAAAATAGTAATTCAGCTGGTATCTATGCGTTTTAAATTTGAAACACTCCCTGGAAATTAGCTGTCTTGTAGTGCAACACAGGTTAGAGAATCACCTCTTCCCTTTCATCAAAGTACAGATTTCCCTGTTTTTGTCTAAAATCCTGCTGTCTGTCCTGCAGTGAAAAAGTCAGGATGACCCAGCACACAGGATACTGGTTTCAGCAAGTGACCACTTTGTTGGATCTTTATGGAAGAGCTTCAAACCTTTGGGAAGCGCCACGTGTGCAGCTCCTCTCCTCTGCCCCTAGGATGTATGTGACAGAGGCCTGTCACCTGGTATTTGTCCTTCTGAAGCAAACCAGGTAGGAGTCAGAAAATTATTTTAAAGAAATCAAACTGATGGTATAGGTAACTACAGTCATTAGATTTCTCATTTTTATCCCTGGCAACAATCAATAATGAATTAAAAACTGTACCTCGGTTGTCCCTGAAGAGGGAGGAAGCTTTTTCGGTAGCTGCTGCTGCCCCTCCCCCTCCTCTTCCTCCAGGATGCCTTCGCTGTTGTCACTCTGAGTGGCTTCATCACAGCTAATACTCCTCTGAACTCCTCGTCTGTCATCAAACTCAGCAGCACTGTTCTCACTGGTATCGCTACAAACACTGTTCTCTCTGCTTCGAGACTTCAAAATTGATTTACGAGGGACATATTCTCCATTCACAACATCAACAAAGACTCTATAAAGGAAAATGTTAGCTTTAATAAACCATTGCAGGATCAGATGACAAATTTACAGTGATCTTGCTTTGTCTTTTGTACAAATTAATTATGATGTGCTTTCCCAACTTTTTCGCTGCAGAATCACAACACTGTACCTTCAGAGGCACTTTATTTACCAATGTACAAGAATCAATTCTGCAGAGTGAATGCTGTTATGCCCTTTATTCAAGCATTAAGTTGGTACTTACTTTCAGCAGAAAATGCATAGCTCTTTGAAAAATGTTAGAAAACACAAAGGTGTGAGTTAGAAAAAGTTAGAAAAAAGGCAAACTAAATGATGAGCAGGGTTGTTTCTGTGAAGAGAATAGTATCACAATCTGGGAATGTTTTCTAGAGTTAAGTCCTTGTCAAATGTAGAATACAAAAACAAATACTTGAAACATTCATTGCACATGGAAAGGATGGAAGTTTTTTCCTGACAAGTGTCATAATCTGCTTTCAATTAGAAACAAAATTTTAAAAATCAGCTTTTAAGATCAGATCAACAGGAAGACACTTTTCAAGTATTAACAGACTGTGAACTAACAAAGATGGCTCTTGTGCTCCCTCTCCATGACTTGAGAAAGTCAAGGGTGGGTGGAGGAGAATGAGAAGACAATGCCAATTTTATCAAACTCATAAAGGAGGAGCCAAATGACTGGATTAAGTCATTTAAGGGTGTTACTTGTTTCTAACAGCTTTATTCATCAGGCACTTACAGAAATACATCTCTACAGAAGATGAAGTTTGCAGAGCTCAGAGAGAGAAGCACAAAATACTCTTTTGCTTATCTTCAGCCTCAGCAGCTGCAAGTACAGGACGTGGTTTCACTTTTCACACTTTGCGACATGTTTAACATATTTAGGTACCCAAATACACACACACACAGTGGGATTTTCACCACCACTTAATCAACCAATCCAATAGGTGTCTGGGCTTATCTTTACAGACACAAATACTTGTTTTAACCATCCTGTCACCTTAGTGTTTTGTACAATCCCCTAAGCCCAGCACTGTTTTTCAAGCCCTCTGTGTGTGGGTATCCTACAGGTGAGCAGTACTTTTTATGGAGAGTACAGAAAGTGACAGGCCAGGGAGAGGGAATGCAAGAGAAACTATGCAAGCAAAGAGCTGAGTATGTTTTCAAGACACAGAAAGGAAGAGACAGAGCCCAGCAAATCAATAACCAGGAAAGAAGGGTATTACAAGTGGTAGATCTGGTCAGTTCTGTTTGAAAACAAAGACAGAAAAAAATGGCAGGGAATTAACCAGAATGTAACATGATATAACTGTTGGTTTCCTTTCTGAGGATGGTATGTACTGGCAAATTTACCTCCATTTCAGAAGCTCGGAAAAAGCAGGTGAATGAAGAGTTGCTATTTGGAAAAGGAAGTGTTAAGCTCAGAAATATTTCATAGACATGAAAGCACAGCAACCATGCAGAAGGCACAAACTTTCATTTTTAAGTAGTAAATTCAGTTTCAGCTGTTTCTTTCAGGAAACTGTAGGAGGGGTTTCACACTCTAGGTGGACAGAAATGAAAGGAGAAGATCTGCTCAGAGGAAAGCTCCACCATAAATTACCCACCGGTAAATGTCTGCTGGGGTTTTGATGTTGGGCAGCTCTGGGGTTGCATGGCCATTGCCACTGCTGTTCCTCCTTTTACGCTTGGCCTCTTCTTTCTTTTCACTGAATTTCAAAGTAGTATTCTTTCCTGTGTTTATTCTTACCTGAAAATTGAACACAAATGATGGTCTAGACCATAAAATCAATAATCACCAGGCTGCAGATCAACTGACTCCTGATGTTCTCTTACCCAAGCAGTTGGGGACTAGGAAGCATAGGTAAGTTAAACAAATGCATGAATGGTAACATTCACAGTGTGCACTGTTTGTTCTCTAGCACTTGCACTAGGCTGGGGCATTTCTTTGCCCTAATGTGCACATACTTTGCACATAAAATATGACAGTCTGCTTATTCAAGCTCTGCTCAACAGCTGAGCTGTTCAAAGGTCAGTTTCAAGGCAAGTAAGAAGTCAATTAAAAAACTCCTAGACAGGATACTGCCTTTTACAACAGCCAGAAGCCAGAACAGCAAGGCAGACATTTGAAGATCTTTTTTTTTTTTTAATACCATATTTAGAACTGCAGGATCTAAACAGTGGGTTTTTAATCATTTGAAAAAAACCCAAATGTCACCTCCAGCTAGCATTCTACTGCATCTACTAATCTAAAATTTTCAGGTTTAGATACAGCATATATATTTTATGTAATCTCTTGAGCAAAAGATAAAAATTAAATAAAGTACAAACCCTTTTAGGTTCCACAGTGTGAGAGAAAAAAATAGTTGGAACAGAGTTATCTCCAACATCTCTGTCATCTTCATCATCACTGTGATAGTAAGTTGAGCCATTAACTTGGCCCACAAACAAGTCTGAGTTTGCAAGTTCTTTATGGAAGTTGCCCTGAGTAATACAGTCCTCTGCCCTATACGTCCCATTCACATCTGTCCCCTTATCTTCCTTCTCCTCTTCAGAAGAGGTTGCATCTTCTCCATTTGTCTCAACTGTATCAGGCATCCTATGGGATGAAAAATATCTAAGTGAACAGAGGCAATTCATGCTCTTGAGAGCCACAACCATACAAAATAACGAACTCGCCTGAACGTAACTTTCTTTACGCAGGTGATGTATTTTTAGACAGACTGTGGAACTTCTGTGTCCTCTAACAATGGCTGTGTCCTTCCCACACCAACTGGAAATACCAAAACTGTGACATCATGGCTAACAACCTATGTATTGCTTGAGGGTCAGAACAGCTCTAAGGATGTCACTGAGCATTAAATGTGTGACTCCCACATGGAAAACTATGGATTTTCATAGCCTGTGGGAAATAAATTCCACTTCCCCCACTTCATCTTAAAGAAAAAATATCAGAAGGCTGGACTGCTGTGGTTGCACAGAGGCAGATTTTAGGAGCTCTGGCGTTGCAGTGTGTGCTTTGTTCATGTCCCACCCTTCTTCCACCTATTATGATTTTATTTCCATCTGTGTGGTCAGCTGCCTGCCCTGCTGGTGGGACCCTCTGTGCACCAAGAGCCTCACACTCAGCTCTGTGAACTCCAGTCCAGCCTGTGCCACAGCAGCACTGTACCTGTCAAGTTCACCAAGGATCTCTTCTTGTCTCTCAAGCTCTTCTAAGCGGGCCCACAGTTCCTCCTCTGACTGGAAACGGCCCATGGGTTTTGTATCACTTCCATTTGCTGGAAAATCTACCTCAAAAACATTTGATACTTTTGGCTTTGAATGAGGTCTGTGAGCAGTTCGGTGTTTTCCTGTGTAATAAAAAATAAGATGCAATTACTAAGGCAACTGACTGAAAAATCCAACAAAAAAATCCAACAAAAAACATCTGAGGGGTGGGAAAAAACACACAAAGGAACTAAGGAATAAGGGCAGAACATTTTCCATTTCAAATTATTGTTTAACTGTTTAAGTGAAACTGTCAATGAACCAGAGCACCAGCACAGGGTAATAGTCTCCGGATGTTACAGAAATACCAAGGCAAAGCAGAGATGTTTATTTACAAAGCAGGAGACACTGATCCTGTGACAGTTTTATTACGACGTGGGTTTTTTTACCTCTTGTGCCAAACAGTAGATTTTGGTTTGATTTGATAGATACCAACATGTGAAAGTGACATTTGCTCACTGTCCCTTTAACAGCAGGTATTATTAACTGGCAAAACAAACCTGGTCTGTATTACAGCTCATTTTTAACAGTCACTTACATTTAAAGAGCAGAGTATTTTCTTTAAATTTACAATGAAGACCTTTAAAAATTATCTTGAGTCACCTGGAAAATCTGATCAAAATCCAGTCATTATCAATCACTTACTTAGTGAAAAAGACCCACTCTGAAAATCGTACAAAAACCTGCCTTTCACAAATAATAGATATAAACGCCATTTAAAGCCACAAAGGTGACCTGAGATACACACTTGTGAGCAAATGGTAGTCAGTGACAAGTCCTTGCTGGCATTTAAAAGCCTTGCTCCCTGGTAAAACAGTGCATCCACTGAGGATGGGGAATACCTTTTCCTGTTTGAGTGCTGTCTGGCACATAGGGAACAAATCCTAATGTTTCAGCCCTGCCTGGGTGAAGGGCAGGCCTGTGTGTTTGACCCCTTTTCCCTGAGACCAGCACTCCTGGGGGCACTGCCTGTTCCTGAGAGCTCCCAGGCAGGCTCCCAAGGGAACTCCCTGCCCTCTGCCCATCACCAGCCACCCAGCTCCTGCACCTCTTCCCAGGAATGAGGACCCATACCCTTCCACCACTGCCACAAATGAAGTGGGACTCCAGTGGCTCTGTGGGTCTTTATGAAACTGCTTTGTGATTCCAATCAACAGTAGTACAATGTCTTCATTACTCAGCATCCTTTGTGTTTTAAAATCTCTATTAACCAACTGTGTGGCCATTTTTTTCATATTTTAAGAACTCATGGCTTAAAGATATCCTTATTCAAATACGTCAGCTTATACTTTAATCCTGAGTTAAATACAAATTCAACAGCAACATTAAAAAGCAAACAGGTGACTGCAAGTAATGCTGGAATGTGCGTCCCCTGCTCTTCCATGGGATAGCACTTTTCATCATCTTGTTAAGAAAAGGCTGAAATGTGTTTTAGTGGGATTTGAATATAAATTGAGGTAAGCCAAGCAATCAGAGTAACTTGTGAGGATTTCATTTGCTATAATTACAAAATTAATAAATAAAATTGGAAGGATTAGTTAACAATCTATTTCAATTTGATTGTCAAATTGTGCCCTCCCAGTCTCTGTTACTCTTCAGTATTAACCACTGACTTGACTACCAAGGTAAGCACATGGCTTCCTGAGCATCAGTAAGTGCTTCAACATGCCAGTGATTCTCCCTCCTAATTCAACACAACTTCTGTCAGTTAGGAAACCAGGTCAGATCAAAAAGACAACAGAGGGAAAACCGCTTTCTGCTCCAGCATCCACTGTGTTCACTCACTGTTACCTCAAAACACCACCACTACCTTCATACACTAACCAAAAAAAGTGACATAGTAAAATCCAGAAAATGGGAGAGGGAGCAACAAACTAAGGAGATGCTCAGGATATTGTGTTTGCCTTCCTCTGAGATACAGCCCATTTCCACAGGAACAAAACTAATTCTTAGGCTGGCGAAGCCCAGCCTGCCTCAACCACTAAGTTGGTCTCTTAGCTACTTCTCTCTCAGTCACAGTACAGACTGGTGCTGAGAGAAAAAATTGGTAATTTTCATTTAACAGATTTTCAGCAAAAGTTAAGAGTGTTTCAGAGGACAACAGTGACAAAGCAGGTTTAGGATTCAAAAAAAGCTTCACAAATGCTGACCTGGATTGCACAGCATGCCGCTGCATTAACACTGTTAATGTGGGATGCATTTCCTAGAATATTACTCCTCCTATTTTGCAACTACATGTACCCATAGTAGAGACACTCCCTTAATCAGTCTTGGCATATAAAGATTATTCTGATTTATTCTAAGAAAATGTATCAGCGAACTGCCCATAGCCCTCTGCAAATCTGCTCCTCCTAAAAATGTCCAAGTGATTCTATTTTCAGAATAATGTAAAATTACTTGTGCCTCCAACTTTGTCTCAGTCCTATCAGGCACTACTTCAGACAGCACAGAAATTACCCAATTAATTCCTTAGCATAACTACCTTTGCTTCCCAGTGTCCTCTCCAACAACCTTTGGGAAGCAGTTCTGTGGTGCATGGGCAGGAGCTGCACACCAGGGCTGCGGTGGTGTTTGTTCCCTGCCAGCCGTGGAACACCCCAGGATGAGATGGCTCACATTGTCCCTCATTCCTGTCCATGCCTCATCCCCACCCTGCTGACACTGATCACATGCTGTTAGGGTAACAGCAGAATCTCAGTTTCTCTGGTTTCCTTCTGTTGTAAAACTCACACTTAAATAAAAAAAAAAATAAAAATATGTCTTCTCCACTTTTCTCTCCTGGAGCCAGGTTAATTTATCTTCTCCCTCTCCCAGAAAACTTCAAACTCCCAGTGTAGACTGTTCACCCAAATGTCTAGCTGATTTTTACCAAGAGATAGCAGAGAATCCACTGAGGGACAGAATCCATCTTACCTTAGGATTAGTAATTTTTTTATTTGAATAAATCAATTCTTTTAATGTAAAAGACATAGTGAAATGAAGTAATTTATTCAATCCCTCCCACACAAAGAGTATTTTGCTCACTGGTATTTCAAGACACATTTATTTTAAATCAGTTACCTTTTGTTTCAATGCTATCATCTTCAATTTCTTCTCTTATGTCAACATATTCACCTGCAGCCTTATCAGAAGGAAGGAAAGTTAGGATTAATAAGTATAATGCAGTGTATTTAGTAACAGCCTAAATAAAATAAGACTCAGAAACAAATACAAGACAGGAACAACTACATTATTCACACTCTTTTATCAGTCTGAAAATCCATCGTTCTTTTAAAACTATTACAAAATTAGGCTGAAATGAAACAAAACACTTACATCACTCATTTTCTGTAAATCTTCTGTGAATTCAGCTCGTGATTCAAAATTCTTCATGACTTTTTGCAAATCATCCAGTGCTTTCCTTACAT